CGAGATAAATCGATCATGAAATCTGTCATGTAAATAGAATCTATAGATTTTTTTTGACGCAACCCACATCCCGCTCCGACAATCCACTTATGGCCCGCGGATGGAAAACCGCGAGGATTGTCCTGAGACGAGAATAATGTCTGGCACATGATTTTTATATTCATGCCTAAGACTTGAATAAATAAATAAAAATTGTAGAAATTTACATCTTAAAATTAGAATCATCATTATTTATGAAACTTTATTATATTAAATAATTCTTTAATATTAATGTTTCTATCAAAATACTATCAAAATACTATCTTTATGTATCGTAAAATAAGACAATCAAAATTGGGATAACTTTAGTTCTAAATTTTGATCCTAGACAATGTATGTTGAAATGTCTTAAAAACGTTTAAGACATCTTATATTCTAATTTGGATATGTTATCTATCTTTTTTAAATTTTGGGCCAAAATTGTTCTATAGTAAAAAAGTCATATTTTACATCACAATGAACTCTAACTAATAGTTAGTGAACTAAGTTAGAACTAATAGTTAGTGACATATTATTATTTTTTAATCTACTCTCTAAATCTCGTGGAGTGAAATCTTCGAAAAAACTGAAAATTAAGCCAATCTTGAAAAGAACAGTGAAAATATTATCATTCTTGTTCAAGAGTGATAAATTTTCACTCTTTTTAGAGTGAGATCTACTTCGCTTTTGGAATGAGATTCACTCCAAAGGAGTGAAATCTCAATCTCTCTTTTTTTGGAGTGAAGTTTTATCTACCCTTGTATTACACTCCAAAAAAAAGATTGAGATTTCACTCCTTTAGAATGAATCTCATTCCAAAAGAATAGATCTCATTCTAAAAAGAATGAAAATCTATCACTTTTGAACAAGAATGATAGTATTTTCACTCTTTTTTTCAAGACTGGCTCAATTTTCAGTTTTTTCGACTGACAATGAGATTTCACTTTATGAGATTTAGAAAGTATGTATATTATAGCAATATCACAGTGAGTTGCAATTTTTATCACAGTTTCATAATAATATTATATCGATATCACACCTGTGACAAAGCGGACACTCGCACATTACCATGATTTTATTATGATGTTATTGACTTTTTTGAGGATGGGGATCCATTTTACGGTATACTATGTATAATTTTTCTTTCATTTATTGATAATCTTGAATGAATAATTCCTAGACACAATATTCGATTCGAATTACGTTGCTTTGCATTTTCGATGTCATGTGCCAGGTGTAAAAGTGAAGTCGCCATTACTCGTCAACGGGCGCTTCTTCATTTTTCCGGAAGCGAGCCTATTCTCCTCCATGTCGTTGACCATGATCTAACCCCGAATCCGTAGACGCCTCGTCACTATGTGGTCCGCGACTATCCGGAGAGCGGAGTGAGGTCCGCCCAAGAGCAGTACAACTATTCGTACACCAACGTCAGCTCGAGCAGCTCCACGGACCCATACACCGGCCGTCCTCAGAGGACCTCGCAAACCCAGGAGAGCGTTATCAAGAGGGAGAGCGGCCCGTATGGCTCGTACTCGACCGAGAGATCGACCAGGACATCATCCGGCGGCGGCCCTGGGAGCTATCGCTCCTCCTACGAGTCCACCACTTCCGGTCGTTTACCTGGCGGCACCAGCTACCGCCATTACTCCTACCGCGTTTAGATCCCCGGCGTAACCCCCTCACGCTGATCGCGTTTCCGCTCTCATCAATTTCGACGACCTTTTCAGATTCTCTGCCATCTCATCGGATGATTTTTCAACGGTAGCGGGTCTGCGGTATCTCAACGCACGAGGCGTAAATGATACATCATTTCCGACGTGAAATGCCACAGACCTGCTATTCGCGGTACATCTGTTCTGTGTTGAAGAACACGTATTTGAGATGTAGATGCGAATGTCACGCCCTGCGATATTAGTAAAATGATGGTGAGAAATATGCGGAAATCGAGTCGCGCCTTTGGAAGAATGCTTTAAAGCAGATATCCATCGATGAGGTAGTTTCCCCTTTCGATGAAAATTACAATGTTAGATCTTACGAATCGTCGACGGAGATTTCCTCTTGGCGAGAGATTGCGAAGTTAAATCTAGTGGCAGTAATGACAAGAACGTGTAAAGTATATTAAAAATAAATGTACTTTCTTCTCCGCAAGAAAGATCACTTCGCTATATTTTGTTTATTGAATTGAAAATCATTAAACTGAAAGTCGCAGAACTTTAAATGGATATTGATTTGGTCGTCGATATCGATAAAAGCGGAATATCGTCTTTTTTCGCATGCCGACCTAAAATTCCTTTTTGTTTCTCTCCTCGTATCAGTTTTATATGCTTGATTTTCTTAAAAATGTCTTTGATTAAAAGATGACGAATTTCGCGCTTTGAATGTGCATCAGCGGATCGACAAGAAAACTCCTGATATTTTTGATGTTATTATTCTGTTGTAATTATCGCTGTTGCCGTAGCCCGAGTCGGAGATAGAGCATCACGCAGCTGCATTTAGAGATAAATTAAGAGCTAGTTGCTATAAATAGTAAGAGTGATATTTTTCTCGAATTTAGTAATAAAATTTGTGCGATAATCGATATAGAGAGTAGGTTTGATCTTCCAAAAATATATCATGTATACATGTCTGACTTTGTAAATCATGAATCTCGAACGAACTCTCCGGAATTTCGCGCTTAACGCGCAACGCGGAAATTGTAAACAGCCACGACAATAAATCGCATAAAACAGCACTGTAAAGATTTGTACGTATCCTATGTGAATTGACATCGACTCAATCGTGAATTGAATCGCTGCCTGCAGGCATCCCAAGTCTTGCAGATTGTGCAATCGTTTGTGTATTAATTTAAATGTTTGCCTCCTAATGCCTCCATTCTAGGCCAATATTTCATTTGTCATATGACAAATTTTTCAACTATATTAATTGATTATAAGACAGAGAATTTTGGAAACTCGAGAACTTCTCTATTATATAGTCATTTTAATTAATTTACTTTCGATTGTAGAGAAACATGCAGCTGTCGTGTCCATTCTGCAGGATGCAAAATATTGGGTTGTCCGGAAAGTTCGTGCCGATTTTGAAGGAAAATTGAAATGCAAAAGATTAAAATTTTAGTATACATTTATTAAATTATATAGGTTAATCGACACGAACTTTCCGGACAATATTAAAAAATCTTAACTTGTTTTAAAATTGATATCTCTGAACTTTTATCAAATCTGCGAAGATCTTTCATTTTAATTTCAAGTTTAATTTTTAAATCTATTAACGCGAAAAAAAATTTGTTATACGACAAATGAAATATTAGCTTAAGAGCCATGGCACACAAAAAAGTAAGACGTAAACAATAAGGAAATCAACATGTTGGATTGACTGCTGTTTATGTTATGGTTTCTATTATGTTTGACCAATTCGCTTAGTCTTTACTGCTTAAATTATTTGTGTGCTGGCCTCTAACTCACGCCTTTCTTTTCCCTTGGGGATGTTTTTACTTGTCGTACAACCTGAGTGAACGTTTTTTTTAATTATATTTCTAGAGTAGCGGGTGTCGATTTTGTGTCGCCCCAATATTCCTACAAAAAAGCGTCGTCCTACGAGATATACATCGCAATTTTTACGCAACCATAATTTCAGAAAAACTAGTATAATGTAGATAAAATAATATTTTATGAAACAGATCATTTCTTATTTGGGCGCTAGACATGCGCGCGATATCATCTTGAGATAATATAAGAATTGAATAATAAAGAAGTATATGGAATAATAATAGAAGATTTTAATTAATTCTTTACGAACTGACCTGCCATGATACTTACAGTAACATCACGTCATTTATTAATATTAAAAGATTCCAATTAAATTGTTTCAAAATTGATATCTGAACTTTTCTAAAATAGACTGTAAAAATAATTAAATTTTCGTTGATAATTATTTGAGTATCTTTAAAGAAATCCTAAAGTGACAAAATTATCGACAATACAGATAAAAAGTACTCCGAATTGAGGCTGGAGTATATAGATTCTAAAATTCTTTTATATAATTAAAAACATAAAAAATATATAATTAAAATACATAAAAAAAGTTAAAAAATAACATTGATACTAAATGTTTTTTTTTTAACTACTTTCAATCTTCTTGTTAAATCGATTGTCTTGCACCTTTTTTGTATGTATTTTAATTCTGTAAAAGGATTTTGCAATCTGTACAGTCAATTTGGAATACTTTCTAACTCGTAATGTCAATAATTCTGTCACTTTAAGATCACTTTAAGCATATTTAGCTTCTTGAAGACTATTCTACATATTCTGGAAAGTTGAAATCGGATTATATTATCTTGTTTCCTGAAATTATGTTTATTTTCTGTGATGTCATAGCGGGACATTAAGAGCTATTTTCCATTTGGCAGTCTTTTCGCGAAGTAAACTGTACTAACAACATTCATCGTCATCATCATCGTTATCATCGTCATTATCATTATCATCATCGTCATCATCATCATCATCATCATCATCATCATCATCATCATCATCATCATCATCATCATCGTTGCCGTCGTCATCTCGATAGACACACAACGCGACAATTGGCCAAGTCAGTTACTTCGAGCGTCATGAAAAGAAAACCGTCGCGGAATACGAATCTTCCTATAACCTTTCCATTTTTTTATTTCCTTTTCTCATGGGAGGGAGTGACCTCTTTCTCATCCTTTCTGATCTATCCTCTCGAGACGCCGTTAAACGCGCAAGGCAAATGGGATAGCGAGAGAAAAACGAGAACGAAGAAAAAGAACGATACGTAGACGCCACCCGAGTCACTAACCGAGTTGTTCTTCTTTCTATTTATTCTGCCTCCCATACGTGACTCCTCGTCCTTTGCCGCCGCCGTCATCGCCGCCTTCGATGCCGTCATCGTTGGAATTTTCGATGGATAAAATAAAAAAAAATATATATGTAACTCTCCCCATGTCTGTAAACGCGGCGCAGTATCGACCTATTACCATCATACCGTTCTCCAGCAATATCATACCACTCTCCAGCGTCATCCAGGTAGGTACTTTCACTTGATGATGGTTTATGATTTTAATACGTAGCGAATACTCGACTATCGTTACCGGAAGCGCAACAGGTGCGATCATCGATTCTGATCTCCGCGTAGCAGATTTTCCAATTCGTACTTTCAGCTCGATTTAGGGTTCTGCGAGTTTCTATTTTTTTAACAATCAAGTAACTTGCCACCAATTGATTTGTCTTCCAAAGACTTTGCAGTAAACTTAGCAGTTTAATTTGAATTTTGGAATTCTAAAATTGTCTTGCTAGAGATCTTAACCTTCAGTCACTTCTAGTGTGACATATCCGTAGTTTCTTTTACTTTGATATGTTATAACTTTTTTATTAATGAAGATACATATATTTGCTTGTTACTGTTACATTCTTTGATGTCTGGCGTTTTAATTGAAAAAAATTTATATTCATTTTTATGTGATATTTTTCACAATAGCCAGTGTGGTAGATACGTGACAAAACAATGGAATGGCACCAGGGATTAATCGAATTAAAAAAAAAATTTTTTAAACTGTTCTTTGAGGAATTGTTAAATTTAATTATTATAATATTACTTAATATTCTCGATGCAAATCGATAATCAGAATCGACTGATATCTTTTTGCGCGAATTCTATAACTGAATCGACGTCTTTCTCGAAAACTATAATTAAAATAACTATGCAAAAATATAACTCAAATATAATAAATGTATATTAAAATATAACATAATTGATGTAATAAATAGTAGAATAAAATGCAATAAATAATTCAAATAATCTTATACAAAAGAAAAATTTAACATAAATTTAATAAAAATTTAGCAAATTTAACAAAAATTTTTTAAAATAAATTATTCAAGTGTATTTTTATTAGTTTAATTTAAAATTTTTGGAATTTAATAATTTAAGAATTTTAAAGCTTAAAAGTGATTTTGTGTGTGTGTGTGTATATACACACACACACACACACATACAATCGAAAGGAATGTCGATCAGTCATTTGATTTATCTGCGTTCGATAATAATAACATCTCACGATGATAATAAATATCTAATTTATTTTGTGATCTTTTTACATGTAATAATCAACTATGTTAATTCCCGTATTGCGTATTATCAACAGGATATTACGCAAAGTTTTAGATAATTTTAAAAAAAGCACTTGCGAAATAGATGTAACGACGCTTTGCCGCTCTCACGCTAATTAATTTCACGCGTCTTGCATTAATTAATTTCAGATCTCGATGTTTACTAATTCTAAAGCGCTACCTCATCGCAGTAATATTCATCTTCATAGTATCGCGTAGTTCAAGGTAATGTAACGCACTGCTAATCCTCTTGCTGTCATTTGTGACAGACCGTGAACATATGTTCAAAGCTTCCTTAATATAATTATGCATTGAAATCTTTTGTGTGCAACCTACATCACTTGTATATCATTTGATCGTTGCTCAGCGCTGGAACGCATCGAATGCTACGCTTTGCTAATCTGCTTCTTAATCCTTTGGTGACGGTTTTTTATTTGTAAGAAAAATATTAAAAATAATATACATAAAATATCTATTGAACGTTAAAGCGTAAAAATTATAAATTTTGAAGATAATAAAAAATAAAATTTTTTTAATGTAACATACGAATTTAATTTCTGAATATTTAAATTATTATGAATCTTTAAATCCTTTTGTGAGAACTTCTTTTCTTGTGAGAACAAATCTTTTTTCTATAATTGAATGATTCTCAAGCTTGAGAATGTTTATCATCTTGAATTTTTCTCTTGATTTATTTTCTTCGTGTTCCCAAAAAAAAGCCTATAAATTTACATTTATAATAATACGTATATACTATATACGTATAATTTAATTATGTATAATTTAACCGTTACCGAAAGGGTAAACCGCTTGACATCTTGACTCGTAGCAAGATATCCGCTTGGCAGCTTGCCACTGCTGAACGAGCGCGATTAGTAAAAACGAGACGTTCGTTGCCTCCAGTTGAGGACCGTTCCTCACATGCCATACGTGGCACACAAGAGACTCGTCACCATAGTTCACTCGCCGATCCATCATGTGTACTACGCTGGCGCAATGATACCGATAAGAGTGCGAACACGCGTGCGGCCCAGCATTCTCGCAGCTGAGCTCAACAGGATACGCGCCCTGCCGAGACCATCTAGCCGATCCTACATTGAAGAATACCTAAATTCTCGATACAACATAGTAAGTCCGGCAACTAATAGTTTAATATCATTTTTTCCTTTCTTTCTTTCTCTCTCTCTCTCTCTCTCTCTCTCTCTCTCTCTCTCTCTCTCTCTGATTTAAATCAGTTTAAAGTCATGGTAAGATTTGTACACCATCGTTATTGCACGAGGATCATCGTCATTCCCATCATCATCATCAACATCATTATCATTATTTTTCATCAACGATCGTCTGCATTAGATAATATGGGCGGAATCGCGTCGTTGCAAAAGACGAATGTGTTCATCCGTCTTTCAACAGATTAGAAGTTGTTAAGTTAAAGATTTTTTAAAGAACTTCAGCTATTTTGGCATACAGTTATCAATTGTACTATTTTATATAGATAATAATAATAATATTAAGTAGTTTTTTAAATCTCTGTCAAAATAGTTCTAGTCTTTTAAAGATGTTATCCAATTCATTCAGTAACTCATCATCAGAACTATCAAAGAGAAATATGTTCTTCTTAGAAAATATCCATATATAATATATCTTCAGCAAATATTGACATATTTGACATATTCTAGATGTTAAATGAGTAACGTGATTTAAGCACAATAATTACTTACAGTGCGAGCACTATTTTTATATGTGCCATCATTGCAAAAATATGCCTTGCGGACAAGGTACCAAAAATAAATCTTATGAAGCAAGAGGTTGAATGAAAAAAGGATCGAGAAGTATTTTTAACTGTATAATAAAAAACCATTAGTCGATTAAAAGCATAAATAGCAAAATTAATATACCTCACACATCACACTGTCCTAACATTAATTGATTTGCAGCTATTCTAGCTGTTGCCACTTATACAATTATAATCTAAGGCCTGTTCTTTTTAGCTGAACTTCTTGCATGGTTCGTCTTTTCTCTTTTTCTCTCTAACGTAAAGAGAAAAGGAAGAAAGTTCAATGAATTGTGCAAGAGCTTTAGCTAAAAAAAAAACAGACTTCTACTCTTTTTTTACAATTTAACATACGTCTCTGTCTACACGGATGGCCCAAATCTATAAAATGGGTGAATTTCATTAATTTATTTTAAATTAATTTATTAAATTAATGAATTTATTAGTTATTGTTTAATTATTAATTTTATTTATTAATCAATAAACTTATTAGATTAAAAAAATAAAAGAGCTAATACTGTGGCTGATATTTAAAGACTCATTTTTATCGCAATTTATCATAATTATTAACACAATATATGCAGTTAAATCTGACTTTTCGCGTGTAACTGATACGCTATCATAAGACATTAAACTATTATTATCAAGTACTTATCCTTAAAATATACGGTAATACGAAAAAAAGTGTAAACTTAAAAAATAATTCACGTTTACGATGATCAAAATCTCTGAATGCATGCAAGAGATTGATCGACTCTCATTCATACAAGTAACATTTCCAATATATCTCTTCGCAGCTTTTCGACGATGAGGCAAGGGATATTCGCGCAAAAGTGGATTCTCTTCTTCGACGTGTCCATGTGTTCGTGCCAAGAGCAGTGGCAAGGTATCCGACGAAAATAAAATGGTGTGCAACTAATTATTCAATTAAATTAATCGAAGTCTAGCATTAATATCATTTGAATTGATTTTTAATCATTAGAAAAAGGAAACTGCGCATTCAACTTCGTACGCTAAATAAATCAATTGATCTAGAATAGGAATAATCAAGATAATTCTGTGACTCGGAGATAAAGTTATAAACCAATGCCACTCTCAATATGGCATACCCGACTTTATTTGCATAAATAGTTTTTTTCGAAACTTCTGTTTACTTTATTACTTACAATGTTATAACTAGTGAAGATACATACATTTGCTTGATACCGTTATATTTTTTTAATATTTGATGTTTTAAATGAAAATAAATTGTTACAATATGTTTATTTTTATTGAAACCATATGAATCAAAGTTAGATCGGGTATACCATATATGGTATGTATTGCATCTGTGAGAAACAGTAAAATATAGTTAGAGATGTAAACAGAAAAAGAACTAAATGTTTTTTATGAAATTCTTTTTTTGTGAAAAAACAACAAATTTCATTTTTTAATATACATTATACCTAAAAAAATTTTATAATATTTGACATAAATATTTAAATCAAACTCGCGGTACAAGTTCTTATTTACTCATTTTTTATTTAGCTATAAATGAACATTTTGTAATTTAAAAATGTACTAGATTCTTAATTTTCCTTGTCTTGGATTCTGATATTTTTCTATTAAAAAAAAAACAATTTTTTTTTACATCAAAGGTTAAACATGAGTAAAGTAAATTCTTTTCGTGGTTTTCGGTGAATTACTCTTCCAAGTCACAGAAAGTTGAGTTCATTTTTCTATTAAAATAATCAGATTTCTTTATGATTTCCAGCGACTTTATCGAGGAGATCATCCCGGAACGTATGCGCAGCCACGATTACGTCCGTCGGCTGCTCAGCGGCCGTAGCAACGCGAAGAAACAGGTTGACTATCTGAGTTGGTACGAAGTGCCCGATCGAGGTGCATTCGGCACTCTGGCATGCATCAAGTATGTTGCCGGCAAGCCACAATCTATCAGAAAACCGTACTACAAGGTCGCGGACCTTCGGCCGGCTGACATCCGCAACGACGTCAACTTCCTCAGCTACTACAGCAAGAATCGTCAGGCGGCCGCCACTGCCTGTGAGTAATCTGTTACGGTGACGAGGACGACGATGACAATGACGACGATGACGACGACAAAGACGGGGATTGTTGACGCAATTCGCATTTCAGCCTCCAAAAAATTGCTCTTCGGGAATGAAATGCTGTTCGAGAACAATCCCGTCTTGACGATGTTATATATGGTGATCCGTACACGAAGAACGTAGTTAGAGACCGATGAAAACGAAGCGAAGAATTTTTTTAAAGAAAAATTACACGTAAAATAATATTTTTTAATTATAATCACTATTTAATTTTAGTTAAAATGATTAAAATTTGTTTTGAATTGCAACCGATAATATTTCATGATTATATTTTTATAAAAATTTATATTTAAAAAAATACGCTATTGACATTTTCATTAGAGTACATATTTTCGCAAAATTTCATTCAATGTTAGAATTTTACTTGCAGAGAGACGTATTGAAGAAATCAAAGATATAAAAAAAAAATAGCTTCGCTACGTTCTCGCGACTCGAAACATGATTTTTGAATAGATTTTGAAAAATAAAAGACGGCCCCACGACGCCGTTGTGTGTAACTTTCTTTTTGTCTACTTTTTTTCTCGTTCCATCCCCTGCCCTCTCGTTTCTCTACATTTTTTTCATCCCTTTATTTGGATTGGCTGGCACCTTTGGTTTACACTGTCTGAAAACTTTTGTTTGTGCTAGCGAGCACGTGTGTTTCTCTGATATTTTTGCTGTTTTATTGTTGGTCACACAACAATTGATTTTTCTTTTTGATTTGTCTTTTTTTGTCGTGGCTGCATTACTGTTCGATAGTATTGTGTCTAATCGTACAACAGCAATGTACACACTTACCCCCCACGTACTCCGCATTCGTTTTTAATAACCACCTCGTTAAGCGATATCGTGATACAGCGCGTTTTTATTATTATTATTATTATTATTATTATTATTATTATTATTATTATTATTATTATTATTGTTCTGCGGAACGAATGATTGAATTGATCTTCATGGTAAGAGCATAAATATTAATTTCAATTAATAATCTTTCTTGTGAAAAATAATTTATATATTTTTAAGTTTGATAAAAAATTTTACTAGAAAAAATTAATTATAATTTTTTTATTTATTTGTAAAAAGATTGAATTATATATGCTCTTTCCAAAAATTAATTTCATCACTATATCGGTAAAATCAATCATCGATTCGGCAGCGGTTCGCATCCTTTTTTTACGAACCAACGAACATATCGCTATTTTTTATTGCGGTAAACACAGCGAAAACGACATAATAACCAAAAAGAAAACTGTGAACCAAATCAAAAGAAACGAAGGAACGAGAGAGAGCAAGACATTTACACGACGGGGACTCCAGGCGGAACATCAGATTGGGATCACGCGCCAAAAGCAGAATTTTACGGCGCTCGCGGATAAGAGCAAAAATGAGAGAGAGGAAGCAGTGCGGCTTTTTTGAACATTTCAGGCAAGTGTTGGAGGCAGAAGGTGCCGGAGCTGTACCAGGAGCCGAGCAAGAAAAGCGAGCTCAATGAAGAGGAAGAAGGGATGGAGACGGCCGAGGAGTGATCTTTGATCTTCGTTCATCATCACACAAACTGTGGCATCATACCGTCCGCTTTTGCGTTCCGGAAGTGATGTATCCGCGCGTGAAAAGATACGGCAGGTATCGTGCGACACGCGGAGGCTGCAAGATTGCAAATCGAAAACGACTTCTCTATCTTCTTTTTATGATAAGAATTTATTCAATTTTTTAAATGAGCCTGCTTGCGTCAATGAGGTTTGAATTATTAAAATGTATAAAAACGAAAATTACAGATAAAACAGTGTTCGGTTTTAACATTTATGTTAAACATTTATGTTAAAAAATAACAACGAATTTTAAATTAGCAAAAAATCTATATAGAAATAATATTGAGAAGAATAGAATTTTCGAAACGAAACTAGATGATACAAATACAAACATGATCTCATGTAGGAGTGAATTGGATTGTATCAATAATAAAATATCATTTTTTGAAATAAAATTGTTGAATTATGCAAATATGCTAAAATTTTCGCCGCGAATGAAATAACTTTATATAAATTTAATATCACCTTATTATTTTTAATTTTATTACAGCAATTGACCAAGAGTTTTGTACATTTCAGTTTTTAAATTTTATTTCTCTTAATCTTTTAATACGGTTTTATATTCGGTTCGCAAGCCTGGCGGCAAAACACCTCTTTGAACGGAATTATTTTACTGGCTATTGGGGATAGTTACGATCGAAAAAATCTAATATCCGTCTCCACTTTTTCTATTTTTCCTTTCTTCTATTCCGGTCGTGTGCTCGTCGACCGCTTCATTAAAGTTCAATATACCGATATTCGCAATAATCATAGAACGTGCTGTATTTTCCGAGCATTCTTCATTCAATTTTTACTCGATGGACTTTAATGAAATTGCAACGGGCGTGTAAAATTGTCGTGACTATCAAAATGATTGTGCTCAATCGATGCGATCTACGAAGGGAAACGAATACGAGAGAAAGAACAGAGTACAAAAAACAGACAGGGGAAAGAGAATCGATTAAATTGATGCGACAAAAGCCGCGAAATGTGCGCGTTCATTAAAAAAAAAAGAAACAAATATAGAAATATAGAAACTAATCCGATGTTGCACGTATTGTATCATGATGTTCGTTATTGTTTCAATTTTCTAAATCCTATTCGTGCTTGTAAAATAGCAGCGAAAGAAAAATATACGAATAAAATAATAATGTCCGATGGAAGCGAGAGTCTCCAAGTCAATTACTTTACTTTGCACGAGAGAGAATAATGGAAATGTAGGCGAGCTACGTAACGAATAAATGCACTATTTCCGAGGTAAGCTTCTTCGTGTGCTTCGTAGTTTAACCAACGACATCTCATTTTGTCTCTGAAATCTAATATTTGTAGAATCGATCAGTATTAACGCTTTTAAAAAGAAAAAAAATGATGAATTATTTTGAATAATTATTTCAGTACATTTTAAACATTCTGTTTGAAAAATATATTTCTTTAGACATAAAAAGATTTAGATTTTAACAAAAGCTATTTCAATCAGACTGCATTTAATAATTATAATTTTCTTAAAGTGTTTCTTAATTTCTGAGGCATCGCAAAATTGCGTGTAACGATAAAAATCTGTGTTATAAATATCGCTCCCTTACTTCAAAAGTGACACACAATTAAAAAAATTAAGTTTTCTAGAATAGAGCTCAAATTATTTTTAACTTGATAGAAAATTATTGTGTAATCAAAAAATATTGACAAAACTAATATATTTTTAACATAAGCAAATGTCATTTTTGTTTCACAAAATAACCAAATCTTCTTTAAAAGATCACCTTTTTTTAATTGTGATGATTTTTACAATTTTTTATTCAGTTAAATTAGTTCACTATGATGATTGTTAGGGTAATGTTTATTTAATTGATTTATAATAACTCAAAAAAATCACATTTTTTTATATTACTTATAAAATAAAGGAGCAATATACAACTGAAAAAGAGATTGAAATACAAAAAGTTACTCAATTAATATAATCTGACTATAAAACATTTGATTATACAATAAGTTTGGTTTCAGAGGCAATAATAATAATAATCCGACAAATCAATCATTAGATGTGATCGAGTGTGATCTCTAACGTCACGCTAATCGAACCGTGACGATCAATGAATCATTTTCACGAGAAAAGACGAGAATTGTGACATCATTAATTACCGGTCTCATTGACGATAATTAATTGACGACTTTATCTCATTGAAGACATCAACGTTTTGCAATATTTTCGCGATATCGAAAATGAGCTCGATGATTCATCCTTAATCCTTAGGGACGCGTTCAGATTCCGTCTGAGTGTTCCCCAAGCATCATCCTTGTTTCAGTGAATAACAAGGATAAAATGATATCTGAGTGACACCGAGTGGGAATTTGAACGTAGCCCAAAATGCTTCCATCGTTAATACTATTATAACTTATTTCTTTTTTTATTCATTCGTCACATATCGCTATATATGTACATAAAATTGTGTACTTCTGTTTTACATGATTAATAATTAGCTAACAAACATGCCTCATCAATTGTTTTTTCACATCGATGTTGTATGTAATCATAGTAATCGCTTTCTAACATCACGTTCTGAGAAGTTTTGCTTCCTTGGATTTACGTCACGAGCTTCAAAAGAATCCTTTGTCACTAATCGATCCTTTATGTTTCATGTATCCCACAGCCTCGGGTCAGCCAATGACAGATCGAGAGATGCGAAAGGGTCAGTAGGCACACACAAAATAATTTTTTGAGATAACAATAAAATAAAGTCCGGTAGAAAGTTGCGATCGTGGGGACGTATTTATTACAGAAAAATAAATTTTATTTCTCATAAATCACGTAATATATTATTCATACGTTAGAACTTTATATAAGCATAAAATTACTGTCATATATTATATTCATATATGTCATATATTATATAACATTCTATCTTTGAAATTGAAGAGACACACGAGAATATGCGAAAATAATTTAATTTATAAATTAATGCAATTAATTTTTGTAACAGAATTATTTAAAATTTCTATATTCTATATAAATTATATCATTAAATTAATATTGCAGAGACACATATAAATATATCTGAATTATTTAAAAAATATCTTATTTTCGTAGGAACAGCATATTATAAATAATTTATTATCCTTTTCACTATATTAAATTATACTTACATTAAAATTTCAAGGTAATTACTTTCACAACTTTAATACATTCGTCAATAAACTTTGTTAAAAATTATTTTTTAACTCGAGAAAAACTCGAATACTTATATGTTTTTACTTATATGTTTTTGTAATTGTTGTTTTACTGTGACCCTTTGTATCTCTCACGTCTAACGTCTTTTCACAATTTTTAGTACGTGCATTAGGCTACGATTCAACAGCCCAGGAAAAGAAAAGTAAGTCTCTGTGCAAAATAACAAAATCCAGATCAATTCCTTTGTATTATTTGTCGTTCATATTCATCCTATGACGTCATAGCTCTCGCTCAGGAAGAAAAATCGGAGAAGAAAGCGAAAAAGAAGCCGGAACCGGAGAAAGAACCGGAACCGATACGTGAACCGGAGCCCGAACCGATATTTGAATCTGTGAACGAACCAGAACCGGTTCCAGAACCTGTAAAACCATCAAAACCGACGAAAGCATCGAAATCAGCGAAATCGGTAAAATCCGCGAAAACGGCTGAGCCTAAAGCAGAACCGGAACCAGTAAAAGAACCAGAAATCATAAAGGAACCGGTACCGGAACCAGAATCGGTAAAGGAACCAGAACCGGTAAAGGAACCAGAGCCTGTTTCAGAGCCAGAAGTGTCAACGGAACCAGTCGCGCAGGATGTGCCAATCGAAAGTGCAGAGGCCGTAAGTGACGAAGCTGAGGAAGAAAAGGGTACGTTTATACCTCGGTCGATATTGTGGGCCGGAAATATTCCATTTCGGCGGCCGGAAATAAGTCTGTCACGCAAACGGTGGATATCGGTCGGAGTAGACAGAAGGTCGATCATGGTCTGTGTCGTTGTTAACAGCATCTCCTATATCGATTGCACGAGAATGAATGTGTCTAGTCTAGATAGCGTGTTTCTCTTTTTCGTGATAAATGTCTTCCTCATAAAAATGACTTCGAGATTACCTCGTAAAGTATCTCCTGTTTTTGTAATAATTTCACTCGAAATTACTTTGTTTTACATGAGATAATATTGAATTAGAAAATAAGTACAACTGCAATGGTTAAACACATTCTGGTCCACATTCGCACGATGCACTTTTAATACACTTTCGAATGTGAAACTGATTCTAATAAATTTTAAAGAAAATATCTATCTAAAAACTATCTTTAAGAATATTAGTTTTAACATATGAAACGAAGGCTATGAAATTAATATAAATAATACTTCGGTACAATTATCCAAGTATTTAATTAAAATGGTTAAATTAATTTTATACTCAATATATATATATATATATATATATATATATATATCGTAGAAATATTTTTAATTTTGCGCTTAATCGATATATCATGACATATGTAAGATATGTAAGATATGTAAGAGTGCAGCGTTATATTTAGCGTTAAACATGCGTGAATTTCATAAAAGTTCATCCCTATTATTGATATTCTAATGAGATTATATTGTAGTGAAGCAAGATAGAGAAGATGCAATAAGGAGGGCTGAGGAGTACCTTGCTAAAGCGGCTAGAGAAGCGCAGTAAGTGACTTTAATTTAAGAACGATACGCCAGTAGAGAACAATCGCGCAAAATAGTTACTCGATATAAACGATTATTTTGCGTAACATTAGCATTGAACTCGGCCAAATAACCTAGTATATGACCTATGACAATCGACTCGCCAAATATCTGACCTTCATTCGCTATTTGTAAAACGTTACTCTGTTCGAAAACATGATCCCGTCTAGCAATTAATTATTAAGAATCATTCAAATTTTACATAATAAGATTTCAGAATTCTTAACATAAAAAGAATAATAAAATATTTGTTATTATTTCTTAAATAATTGAAGTACGATAAATAATTTTCTAAAATAAACGAAGGTGTTTACGGTGTTTTAATTCCAAGCGTGTAATATTACCTAGCAAGTCATTTTTTCAAAGTCATTACCTAGATGTCATTTTTTCGTTAAAATGACATTTAATTTCAATTTGATGAAAATGACATCTAATATCATCAAAGAAACGATGTCAGCTTGATAGTTCAATAGCATATCGGTGATAATAGTAATTTTAGATATAAAAATGTTTTATATAAATTTTTAACACAATGAAACTTTTCTGAAAAAAAATTCGCATTTATGCAGTTTATAGTTTCATCTTGCAATCAAATATGTGAGAAATGCGCATTGAAAAATCTGGAATGCGAGTTTCATTAAAAAACTTGATGAATAACTTTTTCATACATACGCACATACATGCACATACACTAGTGTGTGTTTTTCTAATTAACGATTCTAAATATTATAATTTGTAGCTTCGCTACTTTCATAATACAATATCTCATATAAACTTTATTCAATGTCATAAGTTTAAGAAAATTTAGATGACATTAAAATAAGAAATCAAATTGCGGTTTGAGACTCGCGAAATAATATTTCATAAAAGAATGATAAAAAAAATATTTACAAATCCTTAACTAATATCAAAATAAATATAGTATTTTTTTACTTTCCCTTTTCACTTTTAGATTTCTAATTCTTATAAAACACATACTTAATTCTTCTACGAGTGATTTTTATTTATTCTACATTGTTTGCGTTTGCTTGTCGCGTCCGGGCAATTTCCCCAATTGCGAATAATTTTGTTTTGAAGATCGGAAGAGGAGAGGCGAAAAGCCGCGGAGGAGGAACGCCTGCAGCTTGAGTTGGAGGAGAAAAAAGCGTGGGAGGCTCTGCAGCTTGCACAGGAACGAAAAGCCGAGCTTTCCCAGATACTGGAAATTGAGCAGCAGGAAGCTGAGAGGAAAGCAGAAGAGGAAAAATTACAAGCTGAACGCGAAGAAGTGAACAGAATAGAAGAGGAGGAAAGGTAAGCTCGTTACTTAGAGAAGAAAGCTCTCTATAGTGATTCACGAAATGTCTTTAATAAAAAAAAGTCCTCTCTCTCTCTCTCTCTCTCTCTCTCTCTCTATATATATATATA